AGGCAGACACTTAACCAACTAGTCACCCAGGCGCCCTTAAACTGAAATCTTCTTGACGGTAGGAAATTTTCTACATCTCCATATTACATAGAACAGTTCTGAGAAAATTATAGAATACCAAGACATATTTAGTACTTTTTTAATTAATTGTTCATAATTTATCTGATTGCTATTAATTAATAGTTTGATCTTTAGTGTTAACCTTTTAACAAAGTCAGACAGAAGGGATAGATGACTCTCATCCTTGACCCAGGAAGTCATGAAAATAGGACTTTATTGGGGCCACAGAGAAGACAGATACAGATTTGAGGAGTCTCTAAATGGCCCCAGTCCCAGAAGGTCAGTAGCCAGGTTTCAGTAAATAAAGATCAATGCCACAAAGCCCTTGGAAGAACAAAAATACCTGACTCCAGCTGATGCAAGACCAACAGAGCACATCCTCCGGTGAGGATATGGCTGCCCTTGGTGTAAGTTGGAGTAAGCAGATTCTGAGATGATGTCTGCATGTGTCCTTACTCAGATGTCATCTCCTTAGAGCAGCCCTCTTAAAAAAAACCCTATTGAAATGAGTTTTCATCCTCATTCCCCAATCACTCTCTATCATTCTATTACTCACAATTCCCTCAAGATGATTCTTGCAATCTGAAGTTAACATTATTCATTTGTTTGCTAGGGTATCCTGTAGCAGTCTCTCACCAGACCATGAACTTCTCAGAGACAGGAATGTGTCAATTGTTCACTTCTATGTCCTCATGCCAAGGGCAGTGCTTGACCCAGAGTAGGCATGAGATACATGTTTATTGACATTGAACCAGATGATTGAATGAAGCCGGTCACAGGTATGGCCCTCTCTGGAAATCAGATCTCTGACCGACAACCATAAACATCAACGCTTTGTGAAAATTATCTTTGTGGCTGGGTTGCCTTAGGAGGACAACTCTCCTTCAGTTTATTGCATGCAAATTAGTACAGCAGAGAGTCTCTGAAATCCTCCAAGTACTGAGCAATGGATCAAACATTTGGCATCAGCCAAGAAGCTCTGCCCTTCCATCTCTACCTTCTCTACACTCACTAGTGATAAACTATTTCATAGAAGAGGATATTAGTCTATAGGCTACAAGAAGGTTCTGAACTCTTGTTTTATTAAATGCCTAGGCTTGAATTGAGATGCTATCATTTTCCTCCAAAACTTATTTATTGATTGACTTTTAAGTTATTTCATTCTTAACCCACCATTCCTTCTATAAAAATTCTGAGCATCATTCAAACTCAATCAAGTTCTACCCCCCAGTGAAAACAGTTCCAACCTCACCTTCTTACACTGAGCATCTCCTCTGAATTTTCAGTCTTTTATGTCATTTGCCCCACAGGCGCATGACTGCCTGAAAAGTAAACCTTTCGAGAGAAAAACTATCACACGCATTTTTTTTAACCCTCCATTATGTATTAGGGGATCCTGGCAAGCTAGGATGTAAATTAAATTTACATGAATCTGCCACAGAACGCCATTTGAAGGATAATCTTTGTTCATTTGGGTCCATGAATTTGGAGTGAAAGATAATTCAGCCATGCAACTATTTTGCGCTATCCTTGGAAAATGGGCTTGGTCGACAAATTCAGCAATAAGAATGACTATGTATTGAGATTCTGTACTAGGCCACAAACTTCCCAAGGACGCAAAGAGGAACAAGATAGAATTTCCTCCAGAAACATGAGTAAGGGCGGAATAGCTTTCTTATAGCTCTTTGTATGTAATCAGTGTGCCAATTATAAAGAATTTTCACCATTCCATTAAAGAGAATTGGGTAGAGCATATTCTTGAAAATTTTTTACCCAGTTTGTTAAAATAAATATTTTTATTACTTTCTCATTTATAGATAAAGACACATGCCATAACTGAGATGTAATTGACTTGGACTGCTCTAATTAATCCAAATAACAGAAATTTTCTGTACTTACCACTCATAAATGGTTATTGAAATTCTTATCCTGTTAAGTGAAAACATGGAAATTTCTATGTAAAGTTTGCTCCCTGGCATATGATGATTATCTGTTACCTAAAACCTCAAACACTATCAGGCCAGTGCATAATATTTGGTATGCGGCTGAATCAGAAAGAAAAAACTATAAGCTTTATATGTAGTTGTTTTCAGTCTGCCGTTATGAAGCCAAAGGTTGACTGCAAGATTTCCACATAAATAGTGCCTTTTTAAGTGTTGAAAGATGTCACACCTACAATCCATGGAGATGCTCATCAGCCGTTGTCCCAGCTATTTTGGCAACTATGTGATAGCTGATGGAATTAACCAGCATTTCAGTCTTTGAAGTTATCTATAAAACCAATGCAATGATTAAAGTCTTTGCTCCTCCAAACCAAGCTCCATTTCTGGTGAATGAGTGTCATAGTGGACAATCTGATCCACCAAATCAAGCCCAGGTGAAGTGGGTCAGCGGGCTCCCAGTGTCACTGCCTACCGGGAAACCATCTAGGATAGAGGTCGAGCGGGAGATTTCAAGTTCTGGCTCTGCTGCTTCTCAGCCACTCTGAAGTACAGGCAGGTCACAGCCTTTACAATCCTCGTCTCCCATTTGCAAACCAATACTTCCTACCCTGTCCATCCCTCAATGCTTACTGTGAGGCTCAAATGAGCAAATATGGGAGGAAAAAAGAGAGACTAAGAGAAAGTGCTTCTAAGTGGAACAGCCCAAGGCACTTTATTCGTCTAAGTCGTCATTTGGTACACAGCAATTCAAAATCACTCCTCCAGGGCTGTGGAGGTGCATTTAAAGGGGAGGGTATAAATCTAACAGCCTCAGAGGTGCACTCACCTCACTCCCTTAGGATGTAACTTCTTCCCTGATTGTCCGAGTACCTCACAGGACTGCAGGGACTGTGGGGGCTCTGGCAGCGGGACCCGGTGCTAACTGCACAGACCCGGAGCTCAAATGGCCAGCTCAATCCCTTGCTACCCGAGGGCCTGCATCAAGTACTTACTTCTTTTTAAAGCTTGTTTCCAGATCTCTGAAATGATCAAAATAACACCTATCTCACAGAATTGTGGGGGGCTGAGATGAGATACGCATATAAAGAATGGTATAAGGCGCTGGGTACGGGGCCGGGATGGGGATCGCTGTTGGACTCGCTGGATTCTGCAGCTAGCATGAAAGCGAACATCCCACTAGAGTCAGACCTGATTTCAAGTCCTCGTTCCCTCTCTGACCAGCTCTTCGATCCCAGAGAATCCACTCAACCTCTCTGGAGCTCAGTTACTAATCAAATTGAGGATGGAGAAATCTCCTTCACGAGGTCTGCATAAAGATCATGCCAAGCAGCATAGACCAGAGCACTGTGCTCATTGTAAAGCACAATGCAAATGCATACACTGCTATTTACTTTTTCTGTACAAACACGCTGTAATACAATTGCAAAGATTTTATTTAGCGGCTTTCTGTGCTTGGCACTTAGAAACAGAGTTCCGTGCATAAGGGCAAATTTTTTATACACCTTTACTTCATACATATTTTACATACCCTTTTTATTGCCCCCTTTTTTAATATTCATAATATTGGATTCCCCACTAGGCACATAAATACATTATCTACAACACCTCAAAACCAAAAATCTTAATAGTATTTGTATTATTTTACTTGGTATTATTTGCATTTCCACACCACTTAAAAAGTTTAGCTTGTACCAAACTTCACTTGTTTTCTTAACATTAAAGGATTTGAAGGGGAAAGGAAAGATGAAGGAAAAAACCCAAAACTTCAAAATGCAATAAACTATTTGATAAAAATGGAGATCTAAGGGCAGGTGGAAGGATGGAGAAGGCCCATCTGCAATTCCCTGGGATGTGCCCGGATTTCTCCTGCCACGGGGGCTAAGGGGCAGGCGATCCAGGTCAGGTGTCTGGATCTGGCATGTGGAAGGCCAGGCCTCTATTTGTCACCTCTGCTCTTGGTATCATCTGTCGGGATTATAACACCCTTCCTTCTTCACACTCCTTCCTGTCCCCCTCCCCTGCCAGGCTGCATGCTCTGGAATGGGCACTGCCTACACAGGGCACCCCTCTTCTGGAGCACGGTGGTCAGAGCTGCGGGATCGAAGTGCATTCCTTGCCCAGGTCCCTGTCACCAGTGCCCTGACTCTGCACAGTGTCCCAGAGAGGTTTCCTCCTCGGTGATGCCACGATTCTTTCTAGAACCTGTAGGGGGGTGGGGGTGGAGAACCAAACCAAACCAATTTCCTCAGTGCATTACAACTCTCACCATTGCTCACACTTCCTCTCTCAGTCTCGCTCTCCGCCTCTCTCTTGCTCACTACTGCTTCTCTTCCTTTCTCCTTCGGCTGCTCTTACTCCCCTTTTCACAGGCACCCCCGGGAACATCAGCGATAGCACACCGAGTGAGGAGAGCCAAAGTTCAAAAGCAATCGTTTTCAGGAAGCCAAGTCCGGTTGTAGTGATGTTTGTCAACCCTCATGGACCGGAAGGGGCTCCAGGATACACGGTTCATTCCAGAAACAGGGTAGGCTGCGGGGGAGAAATGTTGACTGCCACTGCTGGCCCAGTCCATCTAGTGTTGTACATAGACCCATTCTTGGTGAAAGCCCCCACCTGGGCCCCCCTCCACAGAGTTCACCCACTTCCAAGTCAGTGTGCATGTATGTTGGTGTGTGTAAGAGTTTGTGTGTGAATACATATGTGTGTATGCATGCACGTATGTATGTATGTAGGTAGGTATGCATGTATAAGTAGGTCTGTATTCGTGTGGGGGGTAACTTTTCATGGCTGCTACATGCTAGCATCTCCCTTAACATTATTATAAAATGATTGTTCAGTTTCTTCAAAGGCCACTCTGGAGTAAACAATGCTTTATAAAACTAAGGTTTGGGAAGGCAGGAGAATGGCCACTGAGTCGGAGATGATTCTAAGGCAAGTATCCTTCAGTGGCTTAAATGTCTTTTGTTGTTCTTGGGTATGTGCTTTCCTCCTCCAGAAAAAAAAAAAAATACACAGTTCCCATTTTTCAAAGGCTTGGGCTCCCAAAAAGGAGGATCTGCCCATGGAGACTCTGGGGCCCTGCGGGTGTAGGGCAGTAAGCTCCGTGGTGTTTGGACCGGCCATTAAACCATGTGCACGGACATCTGGGAGGAGGAGCCTGGAACCGCCCCATACTGCCGACCGTCACAGGTGTTAGTCGCCTGCTGGTTATTGGGCGAAGGGCTAATCATGTGCATGCTGTGCTCCATTCCCGTGGGCAGGTACTGCCTCTCTCCAAAGGCCCCATTGGAAGGAGAAGAACAGAGTAAAGTGCTTTGAGAGGCGCTCAGTTTTTCTGGGCTTGCAGCTAGCCGAGGAGAAGTGGGGAAATTGTATCCATAGAGATTGTAAGGGTTGTGGAGAGAGAAGGCGTTGTAGGAGCTCTGCTGCATGTGGCTGCCCCCAAACATATGTGGTGATGAGGAACTGGAGGCCGCATTGCCTGCCTGCATGACATACTGGAACTGGGAAGTGGGGAAGGACCCCAGCTGGCCACCGTAGGCTTCCATCTTGCTGTTGCTAGGCAACGAGGGAGGAGTCGGTATTCCTGAGATCAGGGATGGAGTCCTCTGAGGCATGAAGGTTTCTGAGGGCTGAGTGGCTGAAGCAGTGCCACTCTGGAGCCTGTTGTAGCCACTGTCACTCAGCCCTGGGTAGCTCTGCAAGGCCGCCATGTTGCTTCGGGCACAGGGTGGATAATCAGAGAGGTTTAGATTGCACAGCTGGCTCTCTCGACAGCCCACATTGAAAGTGTTGGGAGCCAGATGAAATGTTGGAGGAGAACAGGATGGAGATAAAAGGTGAGAAGAAGCTGAAGGGGATGGTGTCCCAGTGCTGGAGGTGGTTGGGGAAGTGCCTGTGCTGCCCCCTGAAAAATAAAAGGTGAATACCATTGAGCCAGAGACCTTTTAAGAGAAGTCTGTGCAGGCCAGATGCAAGCCAGGCAGGAGGTGCCCTCAAATGTCCAAGATGGGCTGAGTTTTACAGAACCATCGCTTTCTCTTAAATCAGCAAACTCATGTTAAGTGATTCTACCTGTGCACACATACAGAGGCACAGGCGTGCACACACACACACACACACACACACACACACCCCAAAAGAGAAGACAAAGAGGTGATACAAAAGAACACTAAACTCTTGTTTCTGTATGGGTCTTCGAAGTCTTGTTTAAAAAGAAAAACTAAGCCCTCCAGTATTCACTTTGCCATTTCTCACCATCAAATTCACTTTCCAGTAAGACCTCTGATAATCACATTTAAAATCCACCAGCTCAACTTCCCCACATTGTCCGTGGAAATGCATTAGCTACATGCTGTCACCTGGGACTATGGCTGACCTTGCCATATTTAATCCTCCAGCTAAAAACACATCATACCAAATCTCAGGCCCTCACCCACAGAGGAAATGGGGTACTGGGGCAAGGTGCCAAATCAAGGTTAAGGCCTGGGAAGGCTGAGCAGGGGGCCCAGGTAGTAGGAGGTATGGGACTGAAGGTATGGGACTGAAGTTCTGTCATATGAAAGATATTATGAGCACAACCAGATGAGTTAGGTTAGCATAAAGCAAAGCTAACCTGTAACTAAATCATTATAATTCAGAGGCTCTACTAATCTCCCTCTAGAAAAGCCTGTCCTCTGTCTCAGAGATTAGAACAAAGACTGTAAATGTAGTCTGCAGATTTGGGATATTTGTGAGGGCAAGAGTCCAGACAGGTCACAAAGTCAGGAGATCTTGGTTCTCACAGCTCTGCCACACAAATCCCCCATGTGGTCCTGGGCACATCACTTATCTTTTCTGGGTTTGTTTCTTTATCCAGAAGATGAGAAATTCAATTGGATCAGTAGCTCTCAAGCTAGGAGAAGCTACAAGCTTTAAGTTCCAGGATCCCACCTCAGACCAACTAAATGAGAATCAAAGGATTCTAATGTGCAGCCAGGGTTGAAAACCAGTGATACCACCCAAACTCCTTATTTCAAAGCACCCAGGAGAGTGATTCCTAAACTTTAAGGTGCATGAGGATCACCTGGAGAGCTTGTTAAAACAGATTGCTGACTCTACCCACAGAATTTCTGATTCTACACATCTGGGGCAGGGCCCAAGAGTTTGCATTTCTGAGACTGATACTGCTTCATGGTCTGGAGACCACACTTGGCGTGAGAGGACCTCCAGGTCCCTTTCATCTCCTCAAGTTCCTGAAACTGTATTTGACAGAGTTGCTCCTCTGACGTGCAGATATTAGAACTGGATCGGGGGCTGATGCACCAACAGATCAAGAGCCAGTTCAACTCAACCTACTTCACATGTGTTCTCAGATAGTTTCAGAAGGCAAAAATGACCCTTCCAAGCCTCTCCTTTCCCAGGGCTACGAAGCAGCTGGGCAGGAGCCACTTTTTGCCTCGCCCACTGGCAGTCAAAGGCAGTGGTGAGTGCTTGGGCTACCAGGCCTTTCATTTGAATTCCAGAATGGGAGGCTGCTCTGTCTTCCATAGGGACTCTCCCATGATGGAATTCCTCCTTTGGGGCAAGGTTGGGAGCTTCCCAGAGTTGTTGATGAGAGCTCTGATTCCCCCAAGGAGCACGGTACCCTTAGGTCATCCACAACTCTTGTGAGGATTCTTAGAACCTGAGCTGCCATAAAAGGATAAAGGACATTTTAAGTGGAAAGGAGCAGGAATAAGGTTTTTATCAGTGAGAGAAATGTGAAGAAAACTGGCAGGCTTCCAGAGATATTGGGCTACAGAGAAACCATCCACAGGGTGACAGGGAGGAGGGTCCAAATGTGCAAACTGAAAGGCAGATAACTCAAAGAGAAACCCAAAGTTCATTTTTAGCCTCAGCCTAGATCCACAAATATGGTAGTGGTATTGACTGTGGAAGTTCAAATTTAGCTCGTTAATAGTTTCTTTGGAGTTGAGTTTTTATAAAACCCAGCTAATATCATCTCTTCCTTGGTCAAAAGAATTTCCCCAATGAACTTCCAAAATAGAACAATAAACAGTTGCTGATTTTAGAGTCATTTCAGGAAATTCTCCTTCCCGTTTCTTCTTCATGCCTTAAATTCCTTTAAGAGAGGTAAAAAGATTTCTATAACACAAATTGAGATAAGGCCAATATATATACCACCGAGAGAAGTAAGCCAGCAGCTGACCGTGGTAGGAAGAGCACCCAGGCTAATTCTAGGTCCACTGGCCTCCATCCAGCTCATGATCACAGGTAATGTGGGCTACCTCTTCATTCTCCTCCTCTGTGAAAGAGGGTCTCGAACGACAGGCTTCCGTTTCTGTCCTTCTCAGAATTCTATTGGCGTCTGAGGATTAAATTTATGCTGAAGTGTGAATGGCCAATAGCAAGGACTTTTCAAGGAGCCATTTTAATATAAAAAAGGAGTCTGGAAGGGCACGGCTGAGAAGGATGAGGAAGAATATCTCCGACTACTTGTTTCTGGACTCCTGAGTGGCCTAGACTACACAGCCTTCCAGGAAATTCAGAGATTCATGCTCTGCAACTGGCACTCTACACACTTCCCTCCTCTTGCACCCTCAACGCTATGAGCTTCAGGGAAATAAGTGCTATGGCACAAATGGAGAAACCCGACTCCAGCTGTAAAGAGATTTGTGTTTTATGGGAGATGTATCTGATCTCCTCTCTTTGAAAGTCTGCCCTTACTCCTCCCCCCCGAGATCTGGTGTTTATGTGGTCCCCAAAGAGACACCCCCGTTCAGCACACTGCACTGTCCTGTTCTAGGGAGGCTCCATCAGCCCTGACCCCGGCCTTGCAGCAGGAAGTGCATGATGGAGCAGATGACTTTTTACAACTCTAAATGGTTTTCTCAGATGGCCCAAGATGGAACGAATGGTACTGATTTAAGGCCACAATTGGTTTCACTACAAAAAAATAAGAAGGGAACTATTAACAAGTTACAGGGATTTCTGTTGAGCAGATGAGAGAGGTCCATGTTAAAAAGTGTGTAGTCAGCTTGCTTTGGCTTTTAAATGACACTCACTGGAAATGAGACTTGGTGGCCTGCTGCGTTTCAGGGGGTGGGAGCCCCCACATGAACTAGTGTTTGAAGAAATGCTCTTATGCACTTCAAGTACTTGATTCAAATAATAGCTATTTTTCAAGGTCCACATAGAAAGAGAAGGCTATGGTACTCATTTTGCAGAGAAGCAAACCAAGATACTGAAAAGTCTTACTCTCTTATGATCTCTCAGCTTGGCGGCTGTTAAACAAGAATGGGAGTACCAGCCAAGTGCTAAATAAGCCTAAGGAGGCAGGCTGCCCTCCCTGTGCTTTTCAACACTGGGCTGCCTTGAGGCCTTGCATCACAGAAGAGCTAGGGCAGAGTGGGAGGCCTGGCCACACTGCTACAGAGGGGTCCGAGCTGCCTCTCAAAGGAAAAGCCTACCTCCCTTTTTTGCATAACATTCTACCTCATCCCTTCTGTATTGCCAAGTTCTGAGTGCTCTGAGGGTCTTAATTTAAACCTTAGATAGATGAGCATGGACTGTAGAGTTTTGGATTCCCCGGCTCTCTTACTGAGTATAGGATCTTGCAAGTGAGCCTCTCTATGTAAGTAGAATTTCAAGTGTCTACCTTTGTAGGGATACTTTGAGAAACAGATGAAATAGCATATAATACAAAGCACATTTAACATTTGTCAATGTTAAATACATTGTAAATATTGTTTCCTCTTCTCTTCCCTTGTATAAGTGGAGAAGGAGGGAAGGAAGGAGAAAGGAATCCTAGGGCATTAGGGGTCTGATGGAGAAGCTCTCAGGTGTTGGCTTCTATCCATGGAGCTGAGCATCTTGGCCTCCCCACACACTGGTGAGCATATGTCACAGCTAGATGCCTGGATGTAACAGGCTGGAGGAGCCTCCATGGCTGTGAATGATAGAGCGCTGGGCCCTTGACCACTTATGGGCCCATTAAGCCATCTTCCCAAAAGCTAAGCCAACTCTGTTTCCTCTCTGGACTATCTTTCCCTCTCCCCTCACCCTTGCCCAGAATGGAAATTCGATGCCCCATGTCTCTATGTCTTCTCAAACCAAGCAAGTGGAATTGAACACAAATAGGCAGGTTGGTGTCTTTCCCACTGTCCTCAGAGGTCTTAATCCACTTCTGAGAGGTGAGTTAAAATGTAATGCCCTAAGTAGCTGAAAACTCTCTGGTATTCCAGGACCAATTTCCTGTCCACCCCACCTCCCTGCATCCTGTTTTACCCATGGACCCAAGTGAGGAGGTACTCATTGAAATTCATATTCAACATTAGCCTGTTCCAATATTCAAGGCTCACGGCCGAACTAACCAAGAAGAATACATGTTTAGCAGGGTTTCCAGATGAGGACAATAACCTAGAATATACTTGTATACCATGAAGACAAGTTAAATGTGACCATGAAAATCCTGAATACCAAACCTGCTGACTTCTGCATCTTTAAATTGATCACTTCCAGACTGTAATGTGAAGGCTTTCACATACAGTTTCCTTTTGGGTTTATTTTGTTGTGCTTTATTCCCCTCCCCCTCAAAATTGAAAAACAGTAAAAACAATACCCCATTTGGGCTAGTAAAGAATAAATTTCCATGTAATTATTTGGTTCCATCAGCCAGACTCTTCTCTCATATAACTTGGTGGCATGTGTCCCTGAAGAATATGGAATCACTGTGTCCCTGAGCAGCCTTCTTTGAGGCTTTCAAACAGATAAAAGGTAAAATGTCAGCACCCTATGGACTCAACCCAGCGAACAAACCCAGAGGCCATAACGTCAATGGTCATGATCACAGCCCTGTCCATCCCCACTAAGGAATTACCCTTAGTTGAAATGAGTACCCTTCTTAAAATGCAGATGTGTAACGTT